AGTCTGATATTAGAGAAACTAGTTTTGACACATTCGTGCATCTTCTTCAGTCTCAAGAAGACAACGTGAGACTGAAGAGGATGCAAGAATGTGTCAAAACTAGTTTCTCTAATATCAGACTTCTGATAGTTTGTTCCATTTACTGTGGTTTTTCATTTATTAACTTAGTTTCCCTATGTTTATGCCATTTACTGGAGAACACTTTTCTTCTAATTTTCTACAATTTTTTGTTTAAATCCTTATTTTTTCATTATCCAGAATGGTTTTCAAAGAATATTACTGTCAGGTATAGAAAATACAGCTTCTTTCAATATTGAAAAGTAATACAAAGGGTCAAATTCATACTTTTATATTTTGGTGGATAATTGACACTTTTTGGGAATCAGCCTGAAAATTAATTGTGCAGTGAAAGGGTTAAACTTTGGAAACCTTGATGAAGTTGAAGTAGACTTGTTCTTTGGTAAAATTAGCTAGAATTACAAATTTGTGTAATAGCTTGTCTGATGGTGTGATTTATCATGTTTGAATTCTTTTAAAATTTTGTTGAATATATACAGATGTGAATGAACATATGAACATTTTGTATATGTGGATGATGGATGACCTTGATGGACTATAGAGTCTTCTGTCATTTTGCTTTTCTGTATTTTTATTATACATGTTGTACCTAATACTAGTGTTAAATTGATGTTAAACAGGTTTGAATAATTACTGTATTTTCATGAGTTTACAAGACAAAAGAGTATTAGAATCGGACTAAAATATTATTAATCTGTTTTTTATACTTTATTTGTATTCAGTTGCATAGTTGCACATATATGATAAACAAATCTAAAGAATATTCTTTAAAACAGTGAATAAAATCAGTTTCTTTTTAGAATGACTTGTGCATGTAACTAGTGTTTTTAATTCTTTATTTCAGATACCATTGACAATAGGTGTTTTTTTAAACTCTTACTATGACATAAAATTCAATATCCTTGGAACAGTTTTTGCATCCATCGGTGTTATAGTCACATCATTATATCAAGTGGTGAGTTCGTAAAATATTTAATTGTTGTCAAAATGAACCAAACCTTAGTCTCATGAATATTGTAGCTAAAACTTTAGATTATATTTCTAAAATTGTAGGAAAATAGTTCTTCAAACTAGTTGCTCATAATGTATTCAGAAACTTAATTGAAAATATCAAACCTTTTGGCTTTTGGTTTGTTATACCTGATATTAAAGAACAGATAACTAATTTTTTAAATGTAATTTATTTCTTCGAATTAGGCAAGTGATGGAAATATTTACATGCTAAAAACCTTTTCAAGTCAATAATTTATTGTTGAAACTCAATTACAGTGTTAGAAAAATGATATTTTCTATAGTTTGTGAAGCATATTACTTCTGAAGCATTAATGGGTGTACAAATATCATATATAATTGAAGTTTAGTAAATAAATAGAAATGTTCTAATTGTACATAAGTCATACCATTTTGAGGTCCCTGCTACTCTGAAGATTATAAATCGAGATTCTGTATATGTTAACACTAACTTGGAGTCTTCATGAAATAATTGGTGGCATCCGATTTAATCTGTTAATTGTTCTTTCAAATAGTTTGTAGATTGAAATGGTTTAAATTCATATTTTATTAATGCAATTAATTTTTATAAAAAAAATAGAATAATTGAGTTAACTCAACATTTTTCAGCTAAATTTACAAAAAATATCATCATAAATTATATCTCATAATGTTCAGCATTAGCAAAATATATTATAATAGATATCTTATAGGAAAATGTTAACTGATCTCTCTGTAATCCTTTAGATACAGATTGTAAAATGTACTACAGTTTAACCCTGGTATTGGTAATGTTAATCACCTTCTCTAACCCATTTAGCATCAGGTCATTTACATTAATCCAATTTGATTAGGTTACATGCATATACACTACACTAAGGTGATTAAACTGACCATTATGATCTTCAGCTAAATTCTATATATTTATCTTCCAAAGTTGAACACTTGTTTGTCATGCTGCCAACATGTGTTTGTCACTGATTGTATGGTGCCATAAAGAAGGAGTAGCTATTTATAAGTCGTAGTTGTGCATTCAGATGTAGTTCCATCTGGTTCTATAGCAAGACAGCTGGCAAATTGATCTGTTATCGTAGTGTATGTGTTGTATTCTCAGTTGAATGTATGAAGTTTCTAAGTAAAATGAATTTCAATTGCCATATCTCTTTCAGCTATGGAACATTTACTAGCATAAAAATTATTCATTGTTATTTATTAAAATAACAGATTTAATGAGAAGAAAACATTTCTTTGGCAACCACATCCTGACTTGGAAATATACAGAGGTTTCAGTTATGTAACTTGAATATTTATTACCAAATTCATTGCTAAGGAAAATCCTAGACATATTTTATGATGGTTAGACTTTTGGATTTTAAAGATTTTTTACTTAAATTTCTGTAAAGTTCTGTTTGTTAACAGAAGTTGATAAAGACTTTCACCTTTGTCATAATTTTATGATATAGTTATTAGTAGTGAGAAACTTGCATATTTAATTTAAGAGAACATCACACCTGTTAAGATATACATATACATTCTTTTCAGGCACATTGTACTTGCTATTGTATTTTGGCACTGTGAAAAATAACTGTTGAAGTTAACATAAGCTAAACTAACACTATTCACAAGCTCCAACCAAGTTAACTGTGTTACTAAAACTAGTCAGTTGAAACAACTATTAAAGACTTTATTTTTCATAATGTTAAAAAAAGTTTTTGTTTTTCACTTTTAATTTACACATATATTTTTCTCTAATGCTTTTCTTGAGGTTTCCTTATTGTAATTTTTCTCAAAATATATTTCATTTACTCCTGAAATTAGCCTTTTTTTTTGGTAGCAATGGATTATCAAATTGGTGCTATTGCTTTGATTACATATTAAGTGGTATAATTGTGGGTACAAACTGGTTTTTGTTTTTTTCACAAGAAATAACCATGTGCCTGAAACAAGTATTTTTACATTTAGCACATCAAAGTGATTATTTCTGACTGATGGTAAACAGATTATGTTTTTTGACTTGCTGATTATCAAGTAAGAAGTTTATCATTCAACTGAAGACTGTCTATAACAAATCAGAAGCCTCACTGTATTTGTCACACAACTGTGAAAAACCTTTGAATTTAGAAGCCTGTTTTATAATGTAATGTAGTGTAAGGATTACTGGACATACTTGATAGTAACTATAACACCATTAAGACCTTTCTAAGTTGGTTAGGCCTAAGAACTGTATATTAGGTAATCAGTACAGTAATATTGCAGGCCTGATATCAGTTAATGGGCTTTAGAAACTAGTGTATAAATTTTAAGGGTAGTACATCATTCCACATTGTTAGATGTGTTTCTACAGAAATGAAAACTGTCCATTACTATGCTTATTAGCCTGTTGATTACCATTTTTAACTTTCACTTTAGTTGTTGATGAGGGAAGGATTTGTCAGGACTTAGTCATGCCATTCAGCTTATAAACCCCAGAATCCTTTTTATTGATTTTGTTTGAAATTCATAATTAAGTTTTGAAGTAGATGTTTTAAGGGTAGAACATTATTTTGCAATGTTAGATTTATTCTAAAGAATTAAATAGTGATATCACCAAGAGGTGTTTCTTCGAGCAGTATTTAGTGTTTATTTCATATTTGTCTTGTTTTTTTGTTTTTTTTAATCTTTTTCCAGTGGGTAGGAGAAAAACAAAAGGAGTTTCAGGTTAATTCCATGCAACTACTCTATTATCAAGCTCCCTTGTCAGCTGCAATACTCCTTTTAGTGATTCCATTTGTCGAACCTCCTTGGGTAGAGAATGGTTTATTTCACCATTCATGGTCATCTACAGATGCTGTAAGTTTACAAAAACTTAAATGTGAAAAAACTACTTTCAGTAATATTTTTCCCAATGAATTTGTTTCCTCATATTGCTACACATTAATTCCTTGTATCTTATTTCAACAAAATTGGGGCTGTGTGAAACTAATTTTCAAAGTGCTTCAAATATTTTGTACAGAATGGAAGCTTTTCAATCTTCATATATGTAGATAAGTTTGTACTTGTTAAATATCTTTCTTAGTTAAAGTGACATCCTTTTTCTCTTTTTCTAATTAGTAAATGTGAGTAAAAGAAAAATATTTTGGACACCTATACAGGTCACTTTTGTCCTAAGTGTTTGGTTTACACAAATATGGACAAAAAAATATGTTGTATCATAGTTTTAAATTTCATTGCTTATAAATATGATAAATAAAGTCCTCATATAAATAAGTGCTTCTAAAGAGCTGTATTATTTATCTTCTGATCCTTTGTAAAAAAAGAAAAAGAAACTTTCATTTGGTGGAGCTATGAAGAGGCAGTTGCAGTCAAAATTATAATTAGTTTGTGATCACAACTTGTATTTAAAGAGATTACATATAAGGCAGGTGATGAATCTATGATGCAAGATAAGTTTTTTCGTTTATAGTTTTGTCAGCTGTGAGACTATTTTGGGAGCATTTTGTGTTATTAATTTTTGTTTTTAGCTTTTCACAGCAGAAAGACAGAAGGTAAAGTATTGTGTAATAGTTTTGTCAGTTGGCATTTTCAAAGTCCACTCCACTTAATGGAAGAGAAAGTGAGCTATTTCTTATACAAAATTTTACAACTTACACAATTTCATGAATTAATGATAAAAAATGGATAAGTCTAACTCTCAAATAAAACTAAACATTCAGTTACTAGTTAAATTTCCTCTCATATCTGTGACATAAATTAACTGACTAACCAAATGTCTGATTCACTTATCAACAAAAACAACTCTGGTGTTTTCATACAGTATTTTTTCCCCAAGTTTAGAAAAAACGAGATATCACATAAAATCTAGACACTCAGGAAATTTGTGTCACACATCATCAATTTTATCAAAGCAAAATTCCCTCTAGTAAACAATACAAAAACTTCTATGTTAAAATATTAAATATATAGCCTAAAACAGTATGTACACTTTTATACTCACTAATAATGTGATAATTAGATGTTACTAATTGCTATAATTGTAGTGAGGATGTTGGAGTGATTAGTATTGTATAGTTAGATGCACCAACTATTAGGTCGTCAAGAAATTAATGTTATGTTTTGGAACACTTCTACTTACCCCCCCACCCCACACACACACACACAAAAACATACATCACATATAATAGTTAAATGAACCACCTAAACATCACATTAGTGTAGCCTATATAATGTATAAAGTTTAGTATACTCTAATCCAGTGGTGGTATTCAAATATTTTAACAACAGGTTCTCTCACTAGCAGCATGTAAAAATATTAGATATTAAAAAAAGGAGGGGCCAAAAAGCCCTCCCCTCCCCCCCCATCACTGAGAAAATAAAAATAGGCCGTCACGGATAGTGTTAAAGATTCTTTAGAAACTTTCAATTAAAAAAGTATTTTATAATCTTTCAACTTAACAAAATTCAAATCATCAAATAATTACGTTAATCTATTATTATTATTATACCTAAGGTTAGATCATCTATATACATAGCTCTAGGCCCCTAGATCTATATAATTAATATACCTTATACAGCTATGAAAATTGAAATGTTATGCTAATAATTGGCAAGTACGAAATTGCATTAGAAAATATTTTTCCCCAATAATTTATAAAATTTGTTAGATGATAGATCTATCATCTATGCATTAGTTTAATACATTTTTAAATTTTTAAGAAATATACATTTTTGTGTTTTCGCTCCAAATATAACAGGACCCCTTTCTCTAATAATTCATTTCTTTGTTTTTCACCTGTTACTATCCATTTTATTTATTTTTTTGTTTTTTTCTACTTTACTTTTTTTTGAATATATTTTTTAACGTATTACGTATGGAAGAAATTAATTAAATTATTATTATTAGATCTAACTTAGTTATATCATCTACTATAGGCCAAGCGTCCTAGGCCTACGTGTGAGTGCAAATCTGTGCTGAATTATTAGCCAGCGGGTGAACGCTTTTTCTACAGATTCTTTTAGATAAGATCATAAGGATCTGTATAAAAAAAAACACTTACCTGCTGGCAAATGATTCATCAGAGATCTAGTAGACCTAGTCCACCTAGCCTGCTAGTAAAGTTGCATTGTAAACACGCATACTTGTAAGTTGTAACGTTATTATTAGGCCTATACATACGATTGTTAACAACCAGTTCGTAGAGGTAATTAAATTCTAAGAATAGGTTTGCACGAACCGGTGCGAACCGGCTGAATCCCACCACTGAGATAGACCTAACTGAAAGGCAGATAAATCTGAAATCTGAGTTTTTTTTATGAAATTTTGGTGTTTCCTCTATAAAATACATTGGAATAAAACTTATATCAAAACCAACTATGTTTTAAAGTTATTAGGGATAATTTGACCGAAACTACAATGTACCTAGTGTACTATCTGAAATCATATCATGGGACAACTCACTTGTAATGTTAGTAAGATGATACATGGTAAGCATTTCATGCATAACAAACTATGTTTCTTTTGAATATTTTTAAAAGTCATAAACATCCTTGTTTTAACTGACTAAATATATTGAACCAGTTATAAGATACAACAGTTCTTATTTCATATCAATTTCATGCACATACCTCTTTTAATGCTACACACACACACAGATAAAATTGTAGGTGTTTTTACTCTGGTGCAATTTCAACATGTTAGAAATGGTTTATATAGCACATAACTAATGCAAAAAAGTTTTTTTATTTTCTGTAATAGCATAAGCAACCTCTGTGTTGACATAGAAAGAGTCAAAACACTATTGGACATACCTTGGCACTGATATCCTTGTTTACCCAGACCCCTATCACAAAATAAAAATAGACAAAATCTGCAGAATAGTACACACAAAAGACACTATTAGTCAAGATAATGTATGACAAATGATAAAACACAAATATCTTGGATTATTAGGATTCATAATTGTTTATCATAATGCCTGGGACAACTAAATAACATTTTGGTAAATTAGAGATTGTGATTGCTATTGATCCATGATAGTGACATAACTAGTTTTGAATTTTTTTTATTACAACCGTATATGAAGCAATTTATTTATTTTATTTTCTCTAAATTTTTTTTATGTTTTCCTTTTACTAGCAATGTGCTGGTACTATTTCTCTGTTACTTTACTGAGAATAGATATTTCATTTTTTAAACCAATTTTCAAGGAATCTTTGCAAAATAAGAGACTTGAATCAAGACTTAGTCAGCAGCAAATTAAATTTAATGCAGGCATGTTCTAGTTATCATACTAACAACATAAAGTAATGTTATGTCTTGATAATTAACCTCAATTCTTTTAATTACAATAGTTATTTAAAGGTTTCTAGACAGAGAGAGAAAAAAAAGAGAGACAAAGAAATTAAAGTAGCATATTTTGCAGGATATCAACATTGAAAATTGCTATCCTAAAGATATTAATGTATACTTAGCATTTTCAATCTCATATCTAGTTTTTATATCTTTAACACTTCAAAGTAAAATTACCATTATTATACACTTCTGTTTTCTCACATGTAATTTCCATTTTGTTATATAGTTTAATTTTAATTAATTTTTTAACAATTTAATTAAATTTTTGTGTAAATGATTTTGATTATTTTTAATTGTTTACTGTAATTCATTATTTTCCACTTGTGATATTTTCTCTTAAGTACTTACTTATGCTACTCCCTCATTTTGAAATTAACTCTCATAGCACAGTCTAGTGACATTTCATTGGCTAGTTTATCTGATCACTCAAGATAATTTTTGCAGTTTATAAATATTTATAATGTTTGTGTAGGAATTTAATTCTGAATCAAAATTTTGGAAAGATTCTGCCAGTTTCAGACATATAAGTTAATCTCAAATTCACATACGAAGTCAACAATGGAAAATATTCCTTTTAACTGTAATTATACATACTCAAAAATATTATAAATACTATAACCAAAATATTATTCCTTGAAATAAATATAAATAAACATTTAATACCTGTAAGCTGTTTTTTACAGAGTTAATAATCAAAGAATGATGGAAATGGTACACAACTGAAATGAGACTAAATGTAACTTAATTCTAAAATTTAAATTTTGATGAGCAGAATAACTGGATAACTTATTACTATGAAAATTATGTTTTTATTAAACACCAACATTTATGATGATTATTAGTGTTACACATCATTAAAATTTTAATACTTTAATTTTGTAATAATCATTGATATAAATATCAATGTTTGTTTTCCCACACAGGAAAAACTGAATAAAGTTACACCAATATAATCAGCGTACTGTATTCTACTTGTGAGGATGTTAAATATTCTACAAGAGTCTTTAGTTCTGAATAAAATTGTGTCACTAGTTTTCAGTGTATTTTGTTTATTAAAAATATTCAAGTATTATCAGAATGTAATGAAACAATTTTGCCAGATAACAGGTAATCTTATATTTATGTCACAATCAAATAGTAGTATAACACCAAATAATCAATATACTTGTTAAAGGCTGCTCACCATATGAATTCTCTACAGTGGGAGCAGAATGTAGGTTGGCGAAGAATTGTAGCCATAAATTTGTGACCATTAACCTGATGCACTCTCCTTCGCATAGCTCCCCGCCTCTGATTAAGCCCTGGTCTTTCTTTAAACACTTTTGGCTTTTGTGGTGCATTTTCTAAAGCAAAATATCAATATAATGACACTAATGGATAAAAAACTTGTAAATAACCATATAGAAGTAACTGTACTTATAAAAATAATATTTTTTATCACAGATAAATTCATTTGTTTAAGAGCCATTTTTTAAGCCGTTAAAATTTTTCCCTTAAGATTTAATTGTGTTGATAAAATTTTTCACCTGTTGATATCTTATCAATAATAATGTAATCACAAAGTTTAAGAACTTTTCATCCTCATCCTAGAAACACTTGTTTATGGAATATTTTAGATTATTTCTTCAGGACAAACTAGGTAGCTGAGACAAAGTCTGGGAAATAGGTAACAAGAGATTATTCCTGAAATTCATAGTCTAGTGCACTGTCTGGTATTAAGTATATACCACTGTGGCTTTTCCTATGGGAATTTCTGAGGGATTAATTATTCTTATGGTAAAATAAAGCTGCATAATTTTTTCCTTCCACATTTGTTAATTTGGTCTTGTCTACTTTTATTTCTTTAAACTCTAGTATTCATTCTAAGCCACTGTTCTCAGCTATGCACTAAATGTAATTAAAAATAAATATTTTCTTATCTCTTTATTATAATTAAATTTTAAAATTGAACACAATATACAAAATCTAGCAATTAAATGTTTGTTTTGTTTTGAATTTCACACAAAGCTACACAAGGGCTAGTTGCACTAGCCATCCCTAATTTAGCAGTGAAAGACTAGAGTGAAGGCAGCTAATCATCAACACCCACTACTAACTCTTGGGTTACTCTTTTTTAACAAATAGTGGGATTAACCATAACATTATAATGCTCGCACAGCTGAAAGGGCAAGCATGTTTGGTGGAACAAGGATTCAAACTTGCAACCCTCAGGCCATAGCAATAAAAGGTTTTTCAATCAATGTAGTATATTTATTCTTATTCCTAAGTCAACTTTGAAGGACTCACATAAACATTTAAATTATGTCATGTTGGCTTTACAAAAAGCCCTTTTCTATATAATAGTAACAAATATACTATGTACGTTTATTTTAAGTCTTTAGAATTTCACATATTTAACTAACATTAGACTTAAAAATAAATGAAAATAATTCAACAGTATTATATGTCAAATACTCAGAAATGGCAATAATACCCATTCTGACTCAACTGTTAAGAATCAGTTGATTATAATTGAAGATTAAGAACTATTTAACGTCCCTCATTAGTCCATATGTTTCCTTTTTAAACCAATCCCACATATGAAACAATGAAAATGTGTTCATGAACATGTGGACTAGAATAATAACATGACTCAAAGAAAGCCAACAAAAAAAAAGATGTAATCAATTACTCAGTAATAGGCAAGTGAATGCTAAAAAGGAAACAAATATAGCTGCAACACTACCTAAAAGCACTTTTAAAGAGGTACATGTATATCAATAAAGTATGATCAACACTAATCTAACATACAATAATCTACATTTGAATATTACTAAACCTAACATGTACTAGATACAATATGTTATTATTTTAACAAGGAATAAGATAGCTATTTCAAATTTTAATTTTATCTTGTTTACGTTAGCTTTCAAACTATTTAAACTTGTTTCCAAAACTACTGCTGTCTAGTACTTTATACTTAAAGTAATAAATAAAGCTAGAGATGCTTGTAAAGCACAAAAATAGTAAACGATCCTTTCACAAAAACACTGAATATATTTATAGTACATTGCAAAAATAACACGCCTCTAAGTGTTTTACAGCAGGGGTTCCCAAATGAGCCCGATATCTGTAAAGTGCTTGAGCTAACAGTATGTACCATTCATTATAATAGTAAAAGGGAGATGATTGCAAGGAAACAAAAAGTAATCTAAAGTTAATCCATTTCTAAGGAAGTCTCAGAACCCTTACTTTACACAAGCTTAATATCAGCTTAATGGTTGTTTATTTCTGATTTTTTAAACAACATAATTCTATATGATAATAATACATAAATTCTTCTTTATATGTATATATATATTGCGAAACCTACTTATGAGTCATGCTCAGCCCTCTATTATTAAAAGAATTAGAGTTAGTTACCTTATTTAAATTTTGAAAAGGGCAAAAAAAGAAGAATATTTCAAATTATAAAGAAACAAACAAACAAAAATAAGTAGTAAAAAGCATCATGAACACACTAGTAGCACTAGTAAACAACATTTAAAATAATTAACTAATGTTTGTTACCACTAAATACTAAGAAATGAATATTGACACTAAAATTTTTCATTACAAAATTTATTGTTACTCAATTATTTGCATTTTCTAACTTTCTCAAATGCATATTATAAGAAAATATCATTCATACAGGCAAAACAAGCTTCAACACTATATACAAGTAGTAATAATAAACACAAATGTTCTAGCTCCAGAACTAGTAAAATGCTAAAATCAGTAGTCACTCAAAAACCTAAAACAACAAAGAACACAGTTAAACAAATATACACTTTAAATATTGCTTGAATTTGTATTATAAGAATTTTTTGAATAATACCTGAAAATAAATATTTCATTCTCTATATAAAACTTTGCCCTTCAGAGAACTTTCTTTTCTAATTCACAATATATAATATTCTCCCTTTCCATCAGCCAATTTTGTGAAACTCATGTACATATAATGCTTGTCTACAATGCTCTATTTCAGGTATATTCTCATAGTACACAAAAAACAAATCAACACCTAACAGTTAATTCACTTACAACTTCTATTAACATACAAAATATTCTTTCTCAACATTTATTTAGGTTATTCACTGTTATTTATGCTCATAGATGCTAATATATTTATGTTCTCATATGATAGCACCCTTCTCCAAATGTCCAATTTGTCATTTAAATATTAAGAAATGCAATTTTAATTATTATTTTTTAGTTTTCAAAACCATACTACTGTTATTTCCATTTCCCAAACAAAATGATCAATAAAAAACAATCCCCTTTTAATACGACATTAACATTAGTTGAAACAGTGGCTGCTTAAGTTCTGATTGGAGATAATAAACACTGTATGGTATGTAATTTATTGATGCATATGATGAACAAGTGTTATACAGAAACTTGAGTACATTATATTAGAATGATTTTGGAGCCTCACAATGTCATTACAATCCATGGACACACCCAAACATGCTCTGTATGATGACCAAGTATCAATAGCCCTGCAGCCTGGTTTCCACTGAAAAAGCACCACCAGAGAATTGTTCTGTCCAAAGCACATCACCCCTTCCTGCATTCCTTCCATATTCCATAACTTAGTGTACAAGGAATATGGTTTCTCAGTACCAATTTCAACAGTACGATTGCACAGAAATCCATAGATGATGTGACTGGAAACATGATCGATATCTCTTTCTATGGGATAGCATGAATACCTATTTCATTTTCCAGAGCAACTTGAAGTATGCAATAGTTAAATGGGAGATATAACTGAAATCCCATACTTTATTGGCATAATTTCCAAAAGGAGATCCTACTTGATTATGTTACATACTGTAGCCTAGGGCATATGGATGGGTTTTGCCACTAAACTTTGTGTCCAAGAATTCTCACCTGTTACAAGGTGCAAAGACTTTGCTTACCACAGCTGGGATATGACTTGTTTCAGGTCTCTTTCTGGATGGTTCTGGTGCCCCAAGCTGATACATATTCTTTTGCTATTCAACTAAATTAAGTCCAAAGGATATTCTCTTCTTAAAAATTCTAAATCCCTGATCTGACCACATCTTTATGATCTAAATGTATGAATATCTTGCATCAGAAAGACTGTTACATACACTTCCCAAAAGTGATCAATTTTCAGTGGCATCATACAACTTACAAAATGCCATACAGTGCCAAAAGGTAGTTCTGATACATTCTGTTCTACCCCAACTTTATATTGGCTGTGGTTGTCACACAACTTGCTGATTTAAAAATTCAAAATCATTTTAATACAACATACACAATCATGTATATCAAGAAGCCATTCTTCATACATCATCTTAAACTGAAAATTAATTTGTATTAATTATTATTTTAGATGAAAAACTACTTCATTTTCCAGAGCTACTTGAAGTATGCAATAGTTAAATGGGAGATATAACTAAATTAAGTCCAAAGGATACCCTCTTCTTAAAAATTCTAAATCCCTGATCGGACCACAATATGTGGTATTGCATAACAAAGAAAAACATGCTTTTTGTAACACACCATATGCTCTTTTCACAAAAACTAAAAATAAATGGCTCAAAATATTATTCATACCTTCTGTTATAAAAAAATGTTTTATTAAAAAATAGATTTACCCAACAGTAATTAAATGCATTTACAATTAAAAGCAATACAACATTATAATCATTACATAATAAATAGTTATTAAAAACAGGAACTAGCCCTAAAAAAAGAGACTCTACATATGTTTCAGTGTTCTATGAAGATGGTGTCATAGGACACTGAAACATATGTAGAGTCTTTTTTAGGGCTAGTTCCTGTTTTAATAACTTGTGTAATGATTATACTTCTTTAAATCACACCCTTCTACAACTAAAAAGTAGCAAGATGACCAAGTTTATAAAAGACAAAAAGACACACCTTTTACTGCTAGTTTTATTGACATTTCATCCACAAGAAATTGAATGAATAAAGTATTTTGAAATTTACCATCAAATGATCTAACAAAAATCTGACAATTTTTACAAATAAGAAAAAAACTACACATTAAGTGATTTTGTACATTTTTTCCAACCATAAAATACCAACAATTTACCTTGTGATTGAAGTTCAACAATAATGTGAATTTTCCCCTCTGGTTCCAAGTCAACCTATGTAAAATGTACATACAAAGAAGGATTTTAGTTGGATAATACATTATATGAAAATTATTAAAACTAGCAGAAATGCCACCCTAATGGCAGCTGTTTCTGCTAGTAATTACTAATCTTAGTATTCATACCTCACTGAAATAAATTTAGAAAAAGTGAATATTTTCTACAAAAAGTATTTTTTTCTGGCAAGTGCTGCAAAGAAAAAGCATTCAGATTGTGCTCTTTAGTCATATGCAACTCACTGCATCAAAATGATTCAATGTACAGAGCTCAAAATTCTCAAACACTTTACTGATATAAACTATAAGTTTTTTTAAAAACTCCAGTTTCTCAGTATTACATTTAAAAATTACATCAATAAAGATATAATCAAACCCTCACATACACTCCTAGTGAAATTCATGTTCTTGTTGAAAGGAAAGTACTTTTATTTAAAATTGTGCTCTATTATAAAAAATAGTTGTTGCACATACCAGTTATTTTTCTAATTGTCTGAATCTTGAATAATCAAAGTCGTTAAATACATAGATACTGACATACATTATACTTCCATTATAGTAAAATGAACAATATATTTAATTTTTCTCTTATACATCACATTGCAAGAACATAGATACTGACATACATGATACATCCATTATAGAAGATAGACAATATATTTAATTTTTCCCTTATACATCACATGCAAGATAATTAATTAAAAATTAGTACTTTTTATATTTCCCTCATTATACTGTAATAAATTTTCACTAGTCAAATGCTCCTTTCACACTATGATGTTTAACAAAATTACATATCTTTGAAATACAACTTTATGTCTTAAATAGCAAATTTACAAAACACTTAAATGGTACCACTAAATTATCTAGTCAACACAGTTTTGAATATATTCCAAGAAAGTTCCAAATATAGAAACAATTTTATACTTATAATTTATTCATGAAGAAATATGATAAAAAAATTTACATGTAACTGCTAAATACGCAACAGGTACCTAATTAGAAATTATACTGTATACTAAAGCAAAACAAAAAATATGAGTTTGACTTACATGGCTTATTCCAGTTTCCAAATAAAATAAAACTGAAATATTTATAACTAAACTACTAAAACACAACATTCTGAATAATAATTTAATCTTTCTTATTGCTGACTGAACTTCCTTGTTCTGCTTAAATTGATAAAAATGCATTTTCAAGTCTTATGATTCCACATAAAAAAGCCACACCAAATCACAAAGATAAATTTTTATATATTTTTTGGTAACATGCAAAAAATATCACGTAGAATTTAGTTGTAATGTCCGACATAAATATATGTAGAGGACTAAGAACAGGACTGATATCAGCAGTATTACTTAACTAGTACCATGCAAAGCTTTCTTTCTGCCCCTGAGCATTGCTAATAGTTTTAACATTCAGCACACCAGTCTATATACCCCACAAATTTCGCACCACTTAGGAACATGTATATAGCATGTGACAACCCTCCACTAATAGTACTGCACCACCTATAATGGTGTATCTAATTTCCTCTGATGTTCCCACTCAATCCTCACTTTTGAGAATTGGCAAGATCTAAAATGAAGAACACTGGCAGTGGAGAGGAAGGGTGGGAAGTGTGTGAGCAGAGGTAAAGTACCTATCGGGAAATGCATTTTCAATGTAAGAATATATTAGCTTTTGATACAATCTTACCTCCGCTCACACACAAAGCTAGAATTCCACATTAAAATAGTGGAAGGGCCACAGTAGGTGCCTCAAATTCAAAACAAAGCACACAAGTGGGGCACTGCACTACTTCTGGAACAGGTATGCTCTTCACTCCAGAAGAAGGAAATGAACCTGACATTGGCAGAAAAAAAGGGATTTGCACAAGCTTAATTCATTCTGAGAGCTGCAATCCACAGGAAAAAACAAAGCAAATTCAAACTATCCACCATTGCACAAACCAGACCAGAAACTATCTGGCTCCCATAAGTGAACAGCCACTCTATGAAATGAAAACTTGAAGTAAACTCGATACCCACATAAAAAGAAATGATAAGTCAAGGGACAGTTCGCCGAAACACAACAATGGAGAAAAACAACTAGCCTTGGCAATGGATATGCCCAATCTCAACCGAACAGATGAGGTTCCACAACCCATCACTGGCATTTGGAGGTTGAGGATCACCCAGATAAAAACAAATTAAGAGTAACATAAACATTGTAGCAAGGGAATGTGGACCATGTGATATATATACACCAACCCAAACTGTAAGTAAACAGTGTCATGTGTTATGCAACCTAAATTATGAAGAGAAACTTAGCATTTGGCCAAAACTGGACAAACTCACAAAACAACCATCAGTGTAAGAAGTGTAACAAACTAAATTTAGCATTATGGGGTCATGTCACTGGCTCAATTCAACCGTAAGAACAGGGCAATATCTGTAACCACTATTAACCATTTCACTGCTGTATGTGACTTTAGTTGAATTCCAGGTACAGCGCCGAACGCGAGTTAAGTCGAATTCCTGACACAGTTCCATTTACCAGTCTGTAATTTACTCCGTGCCGCACCTGCATGGCTTCTAGCAACCACAATGTAATTTAGCATAGTTTCCTTGATCGTGGGGGTTATTTTTGTGAAATTCTTGACTTTTGACCCAATTTGAGGGTAAAAAACAAAAAACAATGGCTTGCCACAGAGGATGTATTGGGCGAAATAATGTGAGATTCAGACTCAGAATTGAGTGAATTTGGTGATGACAATTGGGAAAAGAGTGACACAGATACCAATAATACAGTAAGTAATGATAATGCACATGATGTAGCGCATGGGGAAAGTGATGATGATGATGGTAGCCAATGGGTCATGGGTGATGCTGATCATGAGTGGGTCATTGATGATGATTATGACAATTATGACCAATGGGCCATGGGTGATGCTGATCATGAGTGGGTCATTGATGATGATTATGACAATTATATCCCAATTTGGTGCCCAGCTTTGCCTGGCGGTAACCGACCTGTTGATTATTTCTACTTGTTATTCCCTAAGAAAGCATTTGAGCTTATTTGTGAAATGACTAACATCTACGCCCTGGAGTTCTTTGATAATCCGGCAGACCTTCCTGAAAATTATTACTACAATGATTGGGTTGAGTGTACTACAGATGAAATCAAAGCCCATGCTGGTGCAGAAAATGATGGGATTGTGTTCCAAGCCAAGGATTAGTGACTACTGGGCAACTGGGGGTATAGCCCAGTCCTCTGGTTATCGAGATGTACTGCCATGCAATCGTTACTGACTTGTTTGACCAGAAATGTACGAGCTACCCATATCAACAAAAATGCAAAAAGTGGTACTACAAAATTTAACACTTCATTAGAGAAGCAGCACTAGTTAACTTCAACATACTGTACACAACTGCCAAACCTAATTCAAAAATGGAGCCACATTCATTCAGGGAAAATGTAGCAACCAAACTCCATGTTTCTATTCCTCCAAATAAATTTGGAAGGAAAGGGAGGAGGTCGACAGATAACCCAGAGGATACGGAGGAGCGACAGACAGGGCATCACTTTCCCATGGCTTATCCAGATCCTAAATACAAGCCATAGGGTGTAGTGAAAGCCCTTCACATCCAAAGAAGAAGCAAACCAGACATGAATGCATGAATTGTACAGATGGGAGGGGCGATGCCTGCCCATGTGTCTTCCAGACTGCTTCATGAAGTACCACACGGTCAAGCATTTCAGACGTTAGAAGAAAAAAGGTAGTAAAACTACATTATTTTTCCTCTAAAATGTTGTGTTTATTGTTTCAATGTTCTTTTCTAACATTTGTGGTGTATATATGCGCATTTTATGGTGATTTAACTATTTTAAAATAATGCGTTTCAAAATAACCATTTATCACTGGAAATTCCGGCACTGTAGATAACTTTCCATAGTAAAAATCGGCAGTGAAAGAGTTATGAGCAGAAATAATAGCTCACCCAACCATAAATGCAGGGAAGACACATCCTGCACCCAGAATTATGAGGAGGATATGGAACATTTGCTCAACCAAAGGAGCAGTGTACATACATTCTGTTGTTGGTATTATGAAGCAGATGAAGTCCCCAAACTCAATCATAGGAGCAGGGAAAGAAACCTCCTGTAACCAGAATTAACAAGAAGGGGGCCTCTACTGCACTCAACCATGGGAACATTGTCATCTGGAACTCAATATTACAAAGAGGATACCATGTAGGCTGGTCCTGCTCAAACCTACATTTGGTTCTCTTGGAAATAAGCATCCACGGAAAAGGAAAGGAGGGAACCTAGCTTTACCCTTTTCTCACTGTGTGGTTGTACTGTAAGGTAAATTTCTGCTTCTCACTTAGAAGGAAGCCTCCTGGGTTCACCATCCCAGTGACTGGGAACTTGTAAGTGGTAAGGACTCCTGTGCTCCACTTGGAGAAAAAAGGGAGGAGTCTGGAGGAATGTCACACTGATGAAAGTGCAATGTGTGTCCATGATTATCTACTTTTAAAAGCATCCCCAATTTATGCAATCAAAGGGTCGGTAGGGATGGGCAGAAATCCCCTTCTGCTTTACTCATGAAAGTCTATGAGTGATGGCCCACCATTGAGTGAAACTTACGGATACTGAGACACATATGTATATACCATAAGGCCACCCCATCTATACAGTGAGTATTATAGCTCTACTGGTATAGAGTGCAGATTTGAGTTAAAGCATACTTGATCAGGCAATACCTGCCATAGAGTGGGATCCCATTAGCAGTGTTAAAAGAGAATTCCTGGAAAGAAAACATAAATGAAATGTTGTGAAAGACATACCCCAGTCAAAAGCAAATGGACATGTGTAGAATTGCCATGGGAGGGAGACAATATTAACCTGAGAAAGATACAGGCAGATTGTGCAGATAATGAGCTACTAAGGTATTAGAAGTAGTATACATTCCAAATACACGGTGATAGGACAAATCTGATGGGAAGAAAT